ACATGATAAATATATGCTATGTTAAAAATATAAACTTATTTAATTTTGATAATTTCGATACTTTCGGTTCGGTATCAGTATTGCAAAGTTTCGTATTAAAAATTATCAGTAATTACCAGTACTGATATCAAAAAATATTTTCAGTATCGGTTTTATGAAATACCGTACCAAATGGTATCAATCGGAACCCTAATCCTAATGCAACAATGTTTTTTAAAGTCTTTATATCCTTTGGATTTAAAGCTTATTGCCTTAGGAAATAAAGAAAGGGAGATGCTTCTTGGAAGAAGATTTCCTAAAAAGGAAAATTTCAAAAAATCAGTGGTAAATGGTTGAGAGTTTTTATTATTATTATTATTATTATTATTATTATTTATCAATTATCTTATTTAATTAGTTATCAAAAGGATATATCATTAATATTATTATACAGTATATCTTAAATCATAACTTAACTATTTTAGAAAACATTATTATATTTCAAAAAAAAGAAATTATTAGAACAGCATACTTTATTAGATATTCTTTGTATTATAATTAGTTTTTTTGTTATTTGTTTTTTTTTAATATTTTCTTTTTTTATTTTCTTAAATCTTATTACATATAATTTTAAATAAATATTTATAGTTGTTTAATGCTATCTTTGATATACAGTATATTGGTTTTAATATATATATTTTTTTATTACTTAGATAGTTTCTATAGACAAGTTAGCATTAAACTTACTGACCAACTGGCCATGTAAGAGAAATTGTCACTCTTTTCATATATTAAATCTTTATATTTTTTACAATTCTTAAAGCAATGATTTTTATCTACTTTTAAAAAAAATAATTATAAATATTATAAATATTACAAATCTATATTATTGTAAAACTTTGATCAAATACATAAATTTTTATTTTTTAATAAAAAAATAAATTAAAAAAAAGTAAAAAACCCCCCAAAAAATTAAGTATAATTTAATTGTTTTAATAATAATAACAATAAGAAGAAGTTTTAACATCTATATAAATATAAATAAATTATATTTGTGATTATTTGCTTTAATCTTAATTTATTTTAATAAATATTATTGATATAATTAATTTAACATATTAGTTATAGTGTATTGTGGTGTCTATTTATTTTTAAGATTAATATAGATTTCGTTTAGGTATAGACTTTATCATATACTGTATATTGATTATCGTTTAATATTTCAAATAAGTTCAATGCAACATTATTTCGTGTTATATAAAAGAAAGTATAATATATTGTCGATTTTTTTTTATTTTCACAACCGACTACATTCTTTAAATTGTTACACTTGCATTTTTTCGTTGAGGTTTAAAATGATTCATTATCATCTCCTTTCTGTTTAATTCTTATGATCCACTCGTTCTCCTCTTTCTCTCTTTTAACCAACCATCTTTTTTTTATGCGACTCCTTTCTTCGTCCATTTTATACATCAAAATAATAAATGGTAACAAAATATAATAATATGTAAAACTTATTACAAAAAGGCCTACAATTACCCATGATGAAACAGCTGCTTTTAAATGATATTCACATGTATTGCACAATGGAACTTCAATATCTGGAGTAATATAAGTTCCATTATTTAGGTAGAATTCCGGGTTGTATGGGCGTGGACATGTCAACGGTTGACCGCGGAAATAATTGAGTGATGTGGTAAATGCATAAATGGCGGAAAGGATTAGACCGATACTATTGCGTTGAATTAGCATTGGATTAATAATCATTAAATCATTCTACCCTTGAATTTTTTCGAGACGTAAACATTGAACAAATTTTGTACGTACGCTGTTGTCTGTGGAAATATTCCCAACGTTAAATTTATCACTGACAAAGAAACAAGAAACGGTAAGTAATTGTGATAATAGTGAAATGAATACTTTCGCAATTTGAAAATTAGTATTCACCGCTCAATAATGTGACATTCCAAAACCAGGCATAGAGTTTAACACCGAATTGGCTATAATTTTAATTGGAATTAAAAAAGCTTACGGTCAAAGAGATGATGAATAAAGCGAATGCTGATACTTACTCATAATTCGTAAAATATTCTTCCTCACTGGTTACTTCATTGTAAAACCTATCTTTTATTCTTATTGCTTGATTATAATTCTCTAGCTCACGATATTCTAATTATAATTGAAAAACAAGAAACTACTAATTTGTTATATGAATGAAAGGATTTTATGTGAAGCAAGAAATATCAATAAAATATAATTACGAATGAATCATCATTCACTTTTGGAGCGTACCAAAATATATACAACTTATATAAGAAATTATCCCAAAGCCCATCATGAATACCGCTACATAATTTCTTGTGTGGATGATGGATTTTTCGTACAAATCGCTAAATATTAATTGCGAATTTGCCGTGAGTGGTGTATATCTTGTATGAAGCATCAGAGCAAATTTGAGAATGCCAATTCCCCAAAGTCCGAAAGTCCTATTTATTCGAGTTTATTCCAAAAATAGACGAGGGATTTGCTCATTATAAAAAAAGAACTTATGCAATGCATTCCGAATAAGCATGCACGCACGTACATATAAATAGATTCATTCAAGATCCAGACGTGTTTATGAATAACACGTCAGCCGATTGTAACCTGCCTCATGTCTTGTTATTGTATTTTACAAAAAAAAAAAGAGATCATACCGTAAATAAAAATATAAATGAATTTATTTATGCAACCTAGTTACATTTTTTTTAAGAATAATATTATTAGATATTATATTATTTAATAATATGTGGTGTGTAAAGAAAAAAAAAAATATAATTATAAAGTATGTGGCAAAAATAATTTGAAGAAATTAAAATTTCATTTTCATTATTTATTCAATAGTTTCTTTTTCTGTAATCAAACAAGTATTTAATTTTGAATCAAAAAATATAATAATACAAAAACATTTATATATAAATTAACTTTATACTTGAACATTTATTTTTGATTTAATAATAATTTATTGATTAATTAATTAAAAATGTATGCATGTATATTTAAAGATATAAAAAATAGAATTATATAAAAAATTTTTTTAAATATATTAAAATAACATTATCAAATTATAATTTTTTAAAAAAGATAATAATTTAAAATTTAATTTTATATTAAATAAAAAAAACAATCAATTATTAATTATAAAAATAAATTGATAAAAATTTAATATAATTTAATAAAATTGTATATTTTAATATTTGGTAAATAATATTAATAATGATTTTTAATTTAATATTAAACTATTCTATTTTAAAAAAATAATTAATATTTAATATTAATAATGATTTTTAATTTAATATCAAACTATTCTATTTTAAAAAAATAATTAATATTTAATAAAATTTTTTAAAATTTTTTTAGATCAATATTTATATTTTAACTTTTATAAAGCTTTTTATATTTTTAATATACATATGTTAATTAATATTTTTTTATTAAAAAAATAAACAAATAACAACAAATATAATAAAAAAATAATAATTTTTATTATCAAAAGATCATTGTTAAATTTTATTATAAAAATTATTTCTTAAAAAATTATTTTATATATTAAAATAATTTTAATTATTAACAATTGTTTTTTTTAAATATAACTTTATTTTTTATATTTCAAATATACAGATACAGTATATATTTTTATCTTAATTAATTTATATCAATTATTAAATTATTAATAAAAAAATTTTTTTAAAAAATTTTAAACTAAACAAAAATAATAGTAATATTAAACAAGTTAAAAAATATAAATAAATGAATAAATAATAAAAACCAATAATAATTAAGAAATTTTAATTTAGATTCTAAGTTTTATTATTTTAAAAAAAAAATTTTTTTTTTACGATTAGAAATGATTGCAAAACTAAAATTTCATCATTTTAGAATTGCATTATAATATCGTTTACTTTCGAAAAGCTCCAGCATGTAATTATCGAATTAAAAACAATCGAACATCAAATTATTTGTATTGAAGTTTAATAAGAAAAGAATTATTTATTATAAAAGATAATTTAAATCCTCAGCTGTACAATCACGATAACTACCACCAGCAAACTTAAACTTTAATATGGATCTATAATATTTAGCCAGCTAAATTAAAAGCGAATTTTTTTTTAAAGGGTTTATAAGAATAATGAAAGTTCAAGGTCAATTTCAAAGATATTACAACTTACCTTTATTGGAAGTCTTTCTTCAACCACACGAAGTGGATGAGGTATCACATGACCAGATTCCCTAAATAATAAAGCTCAATTATAAGGAACGATGACGCCAAGTAATCAGCTAATTTTAAATTTTAATCCTACCATTCCAGAAACACTACTAATTTATTGTTCGCATTTAAGTCAATCCTCCAAATATCAGTAACATCGATCTCCCAGTCCTCGGACTTTCTGCAGGGACACGGTTCTACTTCTGAATCATCATTTTCGTAAATGCATTGGGATGAAATATCATCATCCTCCTCGGGAATGATAACCGAGTTAGAACCTTCATAAAAATCCTTATTTAATAAAACTCCAAGATGTTCTCTTTTAGATCTACTATGTGATGGTAATTGTTCACGTGAACGTGAATTTGTTCTTTGCCTAGATTGAGAACGTGAGGTTGTCTTTTGTCCGGACTTTGAGCGACCTCTCACCGGTGATGGTGATCGCCGCCTTCGTTTTGATAATGGCTGAATACTTGAAGACCGCGATGATGATCTCTTTTGTTGGGCAGAGGGAGACACTGACCTACCGACTCCACTTCTCGAGAGTGGATTTTTTCTAGATGCACCCGAACGACTGTTGCAACTCCAATACTCATCAAGTAACTGTCGAGCATTTCTAATTTATATTGTAATGAGGTTATATTGCTTTAATCATTAATGCATGATTTTTATCAAGATTAAAAAACACTTACAAATCCCTTTCGTCAACCCAGCTGTTGAAAACAGGATCCCACCCTTTCCATTTAATATAATATTCAAAACAATGCTAATGATTAAAGAAGGTTAATAGAATAACCTAGAGTTTTAATTTAACATGTATGATTCATGATATTTACCTTAAGATCATCATAATTGTGCTTGAGAATCTTCTCCACCTCATAGAATTTTTTATATGTTTCGGTTGATTCTAATTCTTTTTTGATGATATGACGTGATTTTACCATTTGTTAGAACATAATAAGGTATGTCTTGTACTGAACTCAAAAAGAAAACTTTATTATTATTATTATATTTTGGTCATCTTTAGACATGTTTAATTGGTCAACTCCATATTAGGACAAAATAATCTGAACGAACACGAACTTTCGACGTATATTACCTTGACAAGCGTCTTCGTCTTCATCAGAAGATTCTGTTGTCCCAAAATATGTCTGGTGTATATCACCATTTCCATTTGTATGTTGCGAAGGTGTATTGCGCATTTCCAAACGAGAAGTTCATGGAAAAATAGACGTAAGCTCATAACTAAGCAATTGAGAAGAAACAAGTTGTGATTTGATATCTATTGATATTATCATCGCATTGATCAATTATAGTCGGTGTCATTACTTGTGTCCTTTATCAATCTATATCAAATGAGTCATTATAATTTACCATACATCGCTTTGCAAAACATCAGAGCTCAATAATAAGAAATAGTAGGTGTTGCTTATCGATTGATTAGAAAAATATGGTGTAATTTATAATTTTATGCCATAAATAAATTTTACTATAACAAATTTAACGTCATTGATTTGTCTTTGAAATTATATAGTGTTGGAGGATTTACTGACCGACTGTCCATTGAATCACTTTCTCGTGTTCATCATCCTCCCATTCACTTTCCCATCCGTTCTCCACAAACCACTCCACCACTTCTCCACCTATTTGTTCAATTTCCTCTACCAGGCCATCTAAAAAATTCTCATTGATTGCCTGGGAATTGATCACTACTCTGAAAAATAATGGCAATTCTAAATTGCCTAAAGTTATTGGTGAATAGTCGAACATATACCTTCCCTTTTTTCTAATTCTATGATGAATCTCTTTAGTTATATTCGATAACTTGCATTTAAATATTTTATATTCTTTGAGATAATTTCCCCATGAATTGTTCTCTCTCTGGTTTTTGTTCTCGCCATTTGTTTTCATCTCATTGTCACCATTACTCGTTTCCGATGGTACACTTTTGTCACCATTACTCGTTTCCGATGGTACACTTTTGTCACCATTACTCGTTTCCGATGGTACACTTTTGTCACCATT